AATAATTAAGATTTCTCATGACTCTTTAGATGAAAAGATATTTATCTGTAATAAATGTGAATAAATCTAGACCATTAAAAGTGAAAAAATGAATTATTGAGATTTTACGTATGTATAATGTATAAGACTTGTATATAAATAAATCTTTATATATATATATATATATGAATGTGAAAAAAATATACAAGGGTTGAAAAAAAAAAACTATACCTTCTGGCATGGAACTATTGTTTCTGGACCAATTTGAGAGGTTTTGAAGAAGGTTGAGAATGCAAGTTGCAGAATATGGAATAGAAAAACCAAAAATGATACAATCTGCAAAGGAGAAACGAAATTAATTCTGCTTTAATTTATACTTTATAGCAGAGAGACTAAAAATTTGTTAAATAAGAGAATCAAAATTCATAAGCAAATTTATTTATATGAATTTCATTTCATTTTCAAACTAAACGATAAGGAACAAAGGAAACAAGGGTTGCATCATGGAGAAATTTTAAGTTAAAAATACTTAAAAACTCTTTAATCTCTAAAGGACAATGAGAAAAAAATTGGAGAATTTGATTATCAAGAAAAACATAAGGAGATACTACCAACTAAGAAAATTAATGCATCAAAGATATAATATACAGATTTATTTATTTATATAATGAAATGCATCAAGGAACTTTATAAAATCAAACATAACTCATTTATGTCGTACATTAAGGAGTAAACATGCTTACTATTGCTGAGCTAACCTTGAAATAAGTAGGTACATTATCAACTAAAAAAAAAGGGATATATTGTCATATGCAAATTCAAAAAAAGAGATAAAAATCAATTATAAAATAGTTAATTTAAAGAAAACAACAATTATAATTTTCTACAAATGACTTGGAATGACTTTAATAAGCATATATCTAGCAAAAGGCTTCTTTACAAATTGGTCGGATATGTATTTTCTAGTTGCTTCAAAGATTTTGAAAGAAGATATAACAACATTAAAAACTAGAAAAAGAAAAATATTCTAAAACCAAATACTTCAGAGAAGATTGAGGAGAATGAGTATAATTCAAAGAAAAGAATATACTATATACTAAGCTCTAATAATTTGGTGATGAAGTTAGCAAAGCATGTATTAAAATCAAGCTTTTGAGAGAAGAAAAAAATCAAGGTGAAAAAAAAGAAAAAAACACAAACACACAGCGATTGAAAAATATATACCAGCAGGTTTAGAACTTGGGCTTCCTCAATTACAAGGTTTGAGAGACAAATTGCAGATACCAGAAAATGTAGTGGATTTTACCAACATGATGCAATCTGCAGAAAATAATTCAAGTTTAGATGATAAGCGG